AACCTGGCTTTTCCAGGATGTGTGATTGCATGATCAGTCTGAGTAGCTATGTAGCAAACACTTTGTCTGAGTTTCACTTTTTATTCCAGCCCCACCTAATGAGTCAGGATCTTCCTGAAGACTGGGACACGCAGCCTGTCAAAGTTCTGGTTGGGAAGAACTTTGAAGAAGTTGCTTTTGATGAGAATAAGAATGTCTTTGTGGAGTTCTGTGAGTATCTTTCTACAGCTGATTCCAAGTAACTGGTGTGAAAGGATTGCCAAAACCCTGTGTGACCGGGATTAGGGGAAAAGCCTTTTGCAGTCTGGGCCCCAAAAGCAGTGCCTTGGTTGCAGAGATGTGTGAGAACTGTCTGACTGGGGAGGAGTGGTACCTCGTTAGATTGTTGGTGCAACTGTGTGTTTGTAATTAACAGATGCCCCGTGGTGTGGTCACTGCAAGCAGCTGGCCCCAATCTGGGACAAGCTGGGAGAAACCTACAGGGACCACGAGAACATTGTCATTGCCAAGATGGACTCGACGGCTAATGAAGTGGAGGCAGTGAAAATCCACAGCTTCCCCACGCTCAAGTTCTTCCCTGCAGGCTCTGGCAGAAATGTAAGCAGGCAGCTGGGCTGGCAGGGCTAGCCAGGGAGCACAGAGCACTCGCTGCTCGCTCTGCACAGGACTGGGGAGGGATCTGCATCCTGTGGGCACGGAACACAGCGAGTCTGCAGGACACCCACGACCCTTTGAGGGGTCTGGGCTGTAGGGAAAGAGTCTGGGGGGCAGTGGGAAGTGGGAATGGGGAAAAGAGGGAGCATAGAGGACAGTGTGCTCATCTGCAGGCTATTCTTTCCTCGCAGTGATCTCTGAAGTCTAGTGGCTGAGCTGTTTTCCTTCGTCTCATATGGGTGAAGGTGAATTTTTAAATTCCCTTTTGCTTGGCATGTTCACTGTTGCTCAGAAAGAGAATTCTCCTCTCCAGGGGTGTGGGTCTGTAGTGCCCATAACCAGCATCCTTGTGTTTTCCTGTGTAGGTAATTGACTATAATGGGGAGAGGACACTAGAAGGCTTCAAAAAATTCCTGGAGAGCGGAGGTCAGGATGGGGCAGCAGCTGATGATGTGAGTAACATGCATGGAGTACTCTGGGCCTTTGGGAGCACGGTTCTGTGCCTGAATCCCCAGTCCTACATAAGATCCTGTGTTGTTAGATATCATGTTGCTGGTGAGCAAAGTGCCCACATCAGTGTGGCCTGTCCAGGTGGCTGTGGGCCTGCAGCGGGCTCCTCTCCTGGAGAGCACCCTGAGGGGGTCAAGTAGCACTGCTGGGGCACTCAGCACCTGGAACTGGGCTGTGTGATCAGTGCCACATGCCTGTGTGTCTGCTTGGATGCTCTCACCTGCCGGGGGGCTGGGGAGGCTACTACAGGGGTACAGGTGCCATCTTCCAGGGCTTCCTAATCCATAATGTCCTGAGTCTGAAGCTCTTGAAAAAAGTCTCTGGATGTTTTGTTAGCATGGCAGCAGAGAGCAGTGACCAGATGAGGGGTGCTGCTCAGTGCTGGGTCCTGGGTCTGCCCCATGGGCCAGAAACCAGGAGTTGTCTGTAACCTCCACAGGATCTGGAGGACCTGGAGATGGATGAAGAAACTGAACTTGAGGAAGGTGATGAGGATGAGCAGAAACTCCAAAAGGATGAATTGTAAAGAGAAGACTGATCTACATCACCCAAAAAATCAGACACTAAATTGGGCTGCTGTGATGCAGCCCAGTGAGTCAGAAACCCATTAAGATTTAAAGCAGAAGGTAAATGACTGGAAATCCAGGGATTGGCTTCTAAAGTAACACTTTACCCTCACTTGTCTGTACACTTACCTTTTCTTTCTTTTGGCTTTTGAAAAGGGAACTGTCACTAGGGAGCCAGCCCAGCCAGCTGGGCTCTTTTTTCTATTGTGATGTACTTTTTTGTACACAGCTTTTGTCTGGAGAACTCTGTTCTTCTGGGCAGCAGGAGGTTGTGAGGTGGTACCAGGAGTTCAGTAGCCTGACAATCTGGAGCCTTGCCACTAACATCTTCCAGACAGCTTTTTTTTCCTCTTTTTCTTTTAAAACTAAAGCCCCTAATTGATTTCTGCACCTGGCAGGGTCCTTAATGGTGTCAGCTGTTCTTCCCTGGAGCTGGCCTTCAGTATATGTGGGGGCAGAAGGCTGATGGCTTCCTGGGGAAAGGTGTATGTGAAGGTGCTTCTCTTCATGCCAGCCAGATGTTTCCTTTCCCTTCTCTTTTAAGACACTTGGAGATGACTATTCCAAGCTCCTGGAGGGGTGGAATACTGTGTGCACTGGCTGTGGCAGGCTCTGAGGGTGGAGGTGGCTGCTGGCTCACCAGCTGTGTTGACATCCTTTTGATCAAAGACAAGAGTTGCAATCCCTTTCATGAATTATTTTGAGTGGGTTGACCCGGCAGGTGGGTGGTGGGGGAGGGCCTGATAAACAGATCAAACAGGACATTTGCAATTACTGGGGTTTGGGAATGTGGCTGAGGGAGTGCCTCACAGGCCTGAGCTGCATCAGGCTGGTTCTTAGCATTCTGCTACAATAACATTGGTACTGAATTTGATGGCCAAATAAAGTTGAGATTTTAATACTATTATGTCTCTGTCTTTATCAGAGTGTAGGGTATTTGAACCTGCCCTGGAAGGGGAGATCAGAGTTGTAGGATGATTCTCAAGGGACTCTGCTGCAATGGGGTGTGTGTCACGTTCTCCAAGTAATTAGTAAAGGAAAAGAACATTGCAGTGCCCGTGTCCATTCTGGATTCCAGGGGCTGGTGCAGGTGTGAGCGGGCCGTGGCTTGGCTCTGAGAGTGTGCAGCCCCTGGGCCAGCTGGCTGGGCTGAGGGGACATTGCTCTGCTGCTGCTGGGCTCTGCTAGTCAGGCTCACATGACCCCCTGAGCCACGCTGCTATTTCCAAACCTGCTGCTTGTTGCTGAAGGTATTTTGGTTAGAAAATATGCTATAAATGTCACAGGGAGGGCATGATGAGGCTAGAGGACAACTGGGGCCACACCTCTGTGTCTCAGCGGGTGGGATGTGTGCTGGAACAGTGGCACAGGGTCTTGGACAACACTTGTGTCTGTCTCCAGCTCCAGCCTTTGCTGGGCCCCAGCAGAGCCCTGGTGTGGTGTTCCCAAACTTTGGGCATAGCAGCACCAGGGCTGGGGCTGAGCAGGCCCCCACTTGCCATGGGATGAGGAAGGGCTGTCGCTGACAGAGCAGCAGCCAGGTGTGTGTGAGGCCTGTACCTGCAGCTACAGGGAGGGGGACCTTTGAAGCTGCCTCCCTCCAGGGCTATGACTGAAGGTAGGCAGTGGCCACTGCTGCACCCCACAAACCCAGCAGTGCTGGGGGCCTGGGCTGGTTGGTGACAGCTGCTTTGTCTTTTGGAGTGGGGAGGAAGGGACTTTCACTAGTGAAGTTCCACTGAAAGGAGAGGGACTAGAATTTGACTCAAATAAGTCTGTTTTGCACAGCCAGTTGAACTGTGACCAAGCCTGAGCTCTGCAGTGCTCTCCTCTCTCTGGGCAGAGACCCACTGTGCCCGGCTTAGAGGAGGTGCCTCTCCTAGCCCAAGGCTCCCTGTGGCAGGGCAGGAGCTTAGCAGCCATCTGATGTTCATGCCTAATTGCTGTTCCAAGAAAGCAGGCTGCAAGTGTTCTGTGCCGTGTTCAGGCTCATCCACAAGCGGATGCTTGGCCAAGGGATCGATGCTTTTGCCAGCAGATAAACAAGTGCCTGACTGTGCTGCTGGGGTCAGGGCGAGGGTCTGCTGCAGCAGGAGGGCAGAGTGAAACCTCTGACTCCTAAAGCACCACAGCGATTTCTTCTGACACACTTGCCTGGACAATCCCCATCAGCGTGACAAAGCATGAAATGCTTAAGTGTCTGACGTGCCCAAACTTTGGTGGGAGAAAACAGTGGTTGCTTAAACCCTGGACCTGAATGACTCCTCTGTGGCAGATGGTTCTGTTTCGGGTCACAACAGTGTAGCTGGAGAGTATCAGAAGCAGGAGCTGTCTGGTGGTGGTGCTGTTCTTCTGCTGTTCTCCGAAGGCTGCTGGCAGCAGCTGCTTCCCTGTCTCTAGGACAAGGAACAGCAGGGACCAGCAGTGCAGGCCTCTGGTTCTGTGCCTGTCCTGGGATCACCAGCAGCACCTCTGTCCTCGCAAGGGCACAGGGGCCATCAGACACGCTCTGCTTCCTTGCTGGGCTGTGTGCTGTCACAGTTGGGCTGGGCAGCACAGCTCCTCCTGCTCCTTTTGAGTTGTCCCCTGCAGCTACAGGAGGGTGACAGCTCTGGATGTGATTGTGCCCACAGCCCTGGCACACCCATACTGCACTGGCCAGCTGGGCCATGAGCAGCCTTTCCGCAGAAGGGCTTGGTGTTGGGAAATTCCTTCCAGGCTCCCCTGAAGAACTACCCATGCAAGAGTAGATTTGACCCCTTGGATGGGGCACATCGACAGGTGGGTGGTAAGATGAGACACCAACTTCTGCCCAAAAGTGGGAGGCTGCAGGCCCGGGCGGCTCGATTACGAAGCATCATGGCAAATAGCATGAGCTGCATGTCCCCAAAATAGCCCGGGGCAGTCTTTATAACGTGGTGCTCCCAGAGAACCATCAGTCCTGGGCCAAAGGCCTGGAGGTGAGCTGCGAGTGCCGGTGCCACGTCCTGCGTGTTACCCAGGAGTGCGGGAGAGGAGCCCGGTGCCCCGGGAGCGCGGGAGAGGAGCCCGGTGCCTCGGGAGTGCGGGAGAGGAGCCCGGTGCCCCGGAGTGCGGGAGAGGAGCCCGGTGCCCCGGGAGTGCAGGAGAGGAGCCCGGCGGCTGCCGCGTCCCTGCGGCAGGGGACACGGACACGGCGGGGCCAGCACAGACCTGCAGCCAGGAGCGCCGTGAGGGCCGGAGAGGGGGCAGCAGGGCAGCGAGGGGCCGGGCTGCGTGCTGAGCGGCCCCATGCCGCTGTGCCTGAAGGCTGCTGCCGTCAGCATGAGGGACTATTGCCCCGCGGTGCCGCAGTACGGCCGCTACGGCCGGTGCACGCCGCGCTACGGCCGCTACACGCCCCGGCTCCGGGCCTCCCGCACCGTGCGCTTCCCCAACGACGTCGTCTTCCAGGACCACATCAAGCAGGGGGACCTGGAGCAGGTGGGCAGGTTCATACGAGCCAGGAAGGTGACACTGGACACCATCTACCCGTCTGGTGAGTGCTGCTGGGCGGCAGAGCTGGGCAGAGCAGCGGCACAGCCTGGCGGGGCTGCGGGACACCCGCAGCAGGACTGGAGCAAGCCGGGCCCCTCAGCAAGGAGCAGTGCCCGGCAGGGCCCCAGAGCCCCAGGGTGGCCCCAGCATCCCCCCTCACCAGCAGAGTCAGCGGAAAGGGGGAGCCTGGCCCCCAGTCCCTGTAAGGCGCCATCGAGCCCCCGCAGCGTGGTGGGACCCCAAAGGATGGCAGCGAGCACAGGCTATGGGCTCTGGGCAGCACCAGTTTGCCTTTTTCCCTGACTGGGGGATCTGCATTTGTTCCTGGCTCTGCCTGTTTCTCACAGGCACTGCTCCCTCTTGTATGTCTGACTCTGGGGGCTTGGGGAAAGCTCCGAGTTCTGTGTGCACAGCCTCACCAGAAACTGTTTATGGGATGCCTGATCTTTACAGGCTGATGTGGAGCCCAGATCTGTACTTTTCGTGCGCTTGGCTTCTGCTCTCATAAGACCATGGAGACAGAGACTCTAATGACCCCGGGCTTCTTTCTGTCCATACTGATTCTTTGTTAGTGATTGGCTTCTGAAACTCAGGCAGAGCATGACACCAGAGACCTTCTCGTGGCTCTGTGTGAGTCCTGTCCAGGACTCAGAGCAGCTGCTCTAAGGGGCAGTTCCCCTTCCCTCCTCTGTCCTGCCCAGCTGGGGCAGTGGGTGCTGCACCCTCCCAGACAGGGTATTCATGCTGCAGAAGGGCAGCAGGAGCCCACAGCAGCTCCTCTGGCTTTCTCAGTCTGTGTTTCTTTCCCCACTGTCCTCTCCCTGAGCAGGAGAGTGCCCGCCCCCCTTTCCTGAGCTGTGAATGCAGCGTGGAGAGCGATCCCTTCCCGGCCAGGGCTAACCCCTGCCTGTCCCTGCAGGCATGGCAGCGCTGCACGAAGCCGTGCTGACGGGAAACCTGGACTGCGTCAAGCTCCTGGTGAAATACGGCGCTGACATCCACCAGCGGGACGAGAACGGCTGGACGCCCCTGCACATGGCCTGCAGCGACGGCTACGCCGACATCGCCAGGTACGGCCCTGGGGGCCTGGCGGCACCGCGCTGCTGCCCGAGCACCGGCGGCTCCTCGGGGCTGCCCCTGCGGCTGCTCGGGCCGGGCCGGTCCCGGCCGTGGAGGCGGCGGCACCGGGGCTGCCCGGGCCGGGCCGGTTGCTCAGCTCCGCGCCCTGCAGGTACCTGCTGTCCCTTGGGGCCAGCCTGGAGGCCACCACGGACGACGGGGAGAAACCCTCGGACCTCATCGACCCCGAGTACGAGGACCTGGTGCAGCTGCTGGGAGACGCCGCTCTGCGCTGAGCCGGGACCGGCAACACCGAGCGCCGCGGGCCGGCCCGGGGGCTGCGCCTGCCCGGGAACCGGGGCTGCGCCTGCCCGGGAACCGGGGCTGCGCCCGGGCTGGGCCCGGGCGGCCAACGGGCAGCAGCACCCGGTACTGCGAATCGCGAACCACTTTGTACTTTTCCAATAAAGCATCTCGGTTACCACCTCCGGTACCATCTCCGGTACCGCCTCCGGTACCATGTGCGGTACCATCTCCGGTACCGCCTCCGGTACCATGTGCGGTACCATCTCCGCTGCCATCTCCGGTACCATCTCCGGTACCATGTCCAGCACCGCCTCCAGTGCCATCTCCGGTTCCGCCGGGGCGGGGGCGGGGCCAGCGCGGTGCGCAGGGCCGGCACGGGGGGTGTGTCCGCCGCCGAGAGGGGGCGGGGCCGCGCCTGCGCGGTGCGGCGCTTCCGTCTGTGCGGCTGGCGCAGGCGGGAGGGCCCAGGTGAGGGGCGCGCGTTGCCCGGCGACGGGCGGGGGGCGCCGCGCGGCCTAGCCCGGCCGAGCCCTCCCTTCCTCCCGCAGCCCCGCCGAGCCCCTTCCGGCCCCGCCGAGCCCCGCCGAGCGCCGCTGCCGACATGGCCAGGTGAGCCCCGCCCGGCCCCGGGCCCAGCGCGGCCCCGGGCCCGGCTCAGTTCCCCCCGCGCTCCGCTTGCAGCTCCCCCGTCTCCCGGGTGGTGTACAACGGAAAGCGGAGCGGCGGCCCGCGCTCCCCCGGCGCCGGCAGCGAGATCTTCACGCCGGCCCACGAGGAGAACGTGCGCTTCATCTACGAGGGTGAGCGGGGCGGCGGCCGCGGGGTGGGGGCGCGGGCGGCTCGGGGCGGCCGAGGCGAGCGGCCCCGGCCTTGGCCCTGGCCCTGTCCCCGCAGCCTGGCAGTGCGTGGAGCGCGACCTGCGCAGCCAGATGGGCTCCGAACGCGGCCTGGTCGAGGAATACGTGGAGAAGATGCCGAACCCCAGCCTGAAAGGTGCGGGGGACGGGGGCACCGCGCCGGCCGGGCCGGCCCGGGATTGCGCGCGCCGGGCGGGGGCTGCCCTGTCTCTGCCCCCAGAGTCTCTCCTGTCTCCTTTGCAGCGTTTAAACCCGTCGACCTGGGTGATCTGAAGAGGAGGAACACACAGGATGCAAAGAAGTCCTAAAGCGGATCCTCGCTGCGGGTCGGCTGCTCTCCTGAGGTCCTCAAGCAGATTTAATTTGAGATTTTGTGTTGATTTCCTCCTCTGGTCTGTCCTTCTAAAAGCCCGCGGGAGAGCCAGTCAGCTCTGGGGCTGGCTCTGAAGCTGCCTGAGGTCGAGGATGCTCAGGGCCTCACCGAGACTGCCCAGAGCCTGTTGCAAAGGATTCCAGCCCCCCGCTCATAGCTTTCTCTGGCCTCAAACCGCCCTTCCCCACTTCATGCTGAGCAACCCGATCCCCTGTTCCCCTCCTGTCGCTGCCCTCTGTGCCAGGCTGGGCAGGCCGAGGCAGATGCGCTGTTGGATCGGGCAGCACGGGGTCTTGCTTTCCCCTGTGCGCCTCAGCTCCACCTCTGCTGGGGCTGGCCGAGGGCAGGTGGCACAGCCGAGTCTGTTCCTGTGCCTCCCGGCATTGGGACAGCCCCTGTCCAGCCCCGCTGTGCAGCTGAGGGCTGGGAGGCCATAGCCAGGCTCCTCCCAGTTCCTGTGTGGCAGCAAGTTGCTGCCTGGGCTGCTTGCTGCCAGAGCACGTGGGCCACATCTGAGGCCACATTTTCTACCTGCTTAGATCAGTCCTGGTCCCTGTGGTGCTGGAGGGGAAGGTGTTTCTCTCCCTGCAGATGGAGAGGTGGAGTGTCAGCACCAGCCCCAGGCTTCTGAGAGGTGCTCAGAGGGACCTGGGCCACCTGCAGCCCCACAGGAGACAGTGGCCGTGGGGGCAGCCGCGGGGCTGCACGGAGCAAGGCTCAGGAGCTCCTTGCCCTGGCAACGCTGCAGTTTTGTACTAACACCATTTTCCAGATACGCAGCCCTCGGAAGAGACCTGGCCCCTCAGCTCGCCCTGGGTGCCGCAGTGGTGGAACCACACCAGGGGTTCTTCCTTTAGCCACTCGCTCCTGGCACTGCGTGGATGGTTCCTGTGTCTCTGCCTGAGCCAGAGAGAGTGGCTGTGTCAGCTTTGCCCACCCGAGCTGCTGGGCTGCCCCGTGGGAGGGCTGGCAGCCCCCTGCCCGCCTGTGCTCCAAGCTGGCGGGGATGGGGCTGCCAGGCCTGTGCAGCACCAGTGGCTGTGGGGAGGGCTGCAGGGACTTGGGGCTGCCAATACCTTTCCTTTGTTGAGTCCTTGAGTTGTACTGTACCCTTTCCTTTCTGTGGTATGTCACTTGAGGAGTGTTGTAAATAAACGCTGGTGTCCTTTTGGGGCTGCCTTGGTGTGGTGCTGCAGCCTGGCCCAGCTCTGGGGCGTGGACGAGGGGCAAGAGCAGGAGCTGTTTGTTTTTGCACTTTCTGGGCTGTTGCTTTCCCTGCAGGCAGGTGCAGCCTGTCGGTGGCACAGTGCCCTTGGGCTCGGGCAGCCAGCATCCCCGGAGCTGTGGCTGCACCCAGGATTTAAATGTTGAGACTATTAATACCCTCATATCCTCTTCCCTGTCCTGCTTTAATGGCATTTAAGCTATACTTAGCATTGCTAGAATTTCTGCTTGAGTGCATCTTGACACTTGCCAAGACCCTGTTTACCTCCCATCACCAAAACATTCCTGCTGCTTGGTTCTGGCACAGCAAGATGGGAACTCAGCCCCTATTGCCTCCTGAGCCACCCCAGGCCCTGCATCCCTGCAGCTGCAGGCAGTGGGGGACAGGAGTGATGGTGTCACTGTCACAGCCCTTTCTCTTTCACTCTTCTGTTGGGATGGGCCCTGTGGTGTGTTCAGGGAGCCTGACAGGCCAGTGGGGTGCCCTGGCTTGAAGCCCTTAGCATGTCCAGGGCTGTGTCCTGTGTCCAGGCAGCCCTGTTCAGCTGCCATGGAGCCCAGCACTGCCCCCCATCTGGGCACCCATCTGGGGCCATCTCAGGTCTGCCGGACCCCCACACGGCCTGGGCATGAGGGCCCTGCTGCAGCACCCCCACTTCTGCCTTGTTTTCCTCTGCTCGGGCACAGTAAAGCCAGAGGCAAAGCAGCTGCTCAAGCTCTAATGAAATGTACAAAACCCATTCTATACGCAGGTGATTTTTATAAAGACTGATGCCAAATTGCAGGGCAAGGATGGTGAGGTGGTAGGGGGAGGTGGTGGGTGTTAAGGGTGTGAAGAGTGAGGCCACAGGCCAGAGAAATCAGGCTGTTTACCTATAAAAATCGACCTCATCAGGTTTATTTCCCTGTGCCTTGGACACAGTGCTCTTCATTAGATTAAAGGGTGGGAGGAGGAGAGGAACCTGTTTGTCATCAAATTAGGTGGTGGGGAAGAGGCCTGGCAGCAGGCAGAATCGACTTAGGAGACCAATTTGCGGTGCTCAATTCCCTTGATAAAGTGGGAATTTTCCTGCGAGGCGCCGCGCCTAGGGGTGCTTGGCTGTGCTGGGCTGGGGGCACTGCCGGCCGTGCCGGGCTGGGCTGGCCTGGGCTGGGCTGGGCTGGGGGCACTGCCCGCCGTGCCTGGCTGGGCTGGGCTGGGCTGGGCTGGGCTGGGCTGGGCTGGGCTGGGGGCACTGCCCACCATGCGTGGCTGGGCTGGGGTGGGGGACACAGCCCCAATCACCAGTCTGGGGGTGAGGAAATGCCTCAGCCCCATTCCATGCCTTGGGACGAACTCACAGCCAGGGACTGGCACCATGGCTGCACTGTGGTGTCTGCAGAGTCTCTGCTTAGGGCAGAGAGGTTCCAGCACGAGCTGCCTGGAAAGGCAGGGGGTGCTTGGGTGTTCCATTCCTGGAAACACAGTGCCAGGCTGGACGGGGCTCTGAGCAGCCTGGTCTGCTGCAGGTGTCCCTGCTCACTGCAGGGGCTGGGCCAGAGGACATTTAAAGGTCCTTTCCTACCCAAACCATCCTGCAAGTCTGGCCAGGCTGCTGTCAGCACCTTCATCCCTCTGGATACCAGGAACGAGCGGCTCCCATAGGGCAGCTGAGGGCAGCGCCTGCCTCTGTGTGTGTACACATGAGTGTGTGTGTGTGTGCACACGTGTGTGTGTGCACACGTGTGTCTGTGTGCGTGTGTGGTGTACATGTGTGCTGTACATGTGCACACACCTGCACAGGGCTCAGCACCAGGGGACACAGGACATTTCCACAGCACACCCATGGGCTGGGGCTGGCTTGAGGTCCCTGAAGGGTCCCCATCATTGTGTGGCACAGATAGGGCCACCCTTGCTGGGCACTGTCTGGGGCCAGCCTGGCCCCAGCGGAGTTGGGGGTCCACAGTGGGTGTTGCCACAGCAACGCTGGAGCAACAGGCACAGGGCACAGCTCCGTGCCATGACCATATTTACCTTCCCAGAAACTGCTTGGTGCTCCAGCAATTTGCCTCAATTAGGCTCGTTACCGCGTCAGGAAGGCCGCAGTGACGGCAGCGGCTGTAGGGCCGCTGGCTCCGCGGGGGCTGCCGGGGCCGCTCTGGCACCATGGCTGTGAGTGGGGTAATGCCTGTTCCTCCCTCTATTCCTGTCCCCGTCCCTGCACTTGGGGCCGGGGCAGACCCCCAGCACTGCGCTCCCCTTCCCTCGCCCGTTCCGCCGGAGCCCCACGGTGCTGCTGCCCCTGCCCAGAGCCTCTGTGCCCCGCAGCCCAGAGCCTCTGTGCCCCGTCTCTGCTGCTCCCATCCATCCCCGCTGCCAGCGCTGCTCTGCCTCTCGGGCGCCGGCTCCTGCTCGGCCAGGGCAGACAGCAAGTTGTGAGTAAACAGAGGAAAATTACTGTGCGCTGGGCTGGGCTCTGCTGCCGGAGCCAAGCTCTGCGTGGCCCGGGCCATCGCTTCTATGGCCGTGCCACGCCAGCCCCGCCGGTGCCTCGCTGTGGCTGGGGACACCACAGGCAGCGCGGCTCCCGACGGCTCCCGAGGGTGCCAGGGCAGCCGTGGGCGTCCGGGGACCCGCGGGGGTCGGGGCCGCGGCCGTGCGGGCGGTGCTGCGGCTGGGTGCGATTTACCGAGGGCAGCAGCGCCTGCCCGGCGCTCACTGGTGGCACTGCCGGGGCGCAGCTGCCGCTCTCAGCCCCTGCTCAGCGCGGCCCCTGTGCCTGTGCCGGGTTGGGTGCGGGCCTTGGGCAGCCGGGGCCGTCACCCGCTCGGGCCCAGCCGCGTGGTGGTGACGGGCAGTGCCCACGGTCCGCGGGCAGGGGGTCACGGCAGGGCGGCTCTCCGTCCCGCCGCCACCCCTCGGGCAGGGTGAACCCGGCCGGGGAGCAGCACCGGCCTAATCCCCACACACCAGGCGATTGTGGTGCCCAAAGCTGCGGCATCCGGGCTTAGCGCTCATGTGCGCAGCACAAGCCTCTTAGGGCACGGCCGTGAGCCCGCCGCAGCCAGCCCAGGGGCGGCACAGGGGTCCCGCAGCCCCGCACCCCGCTGCGCTCACCGAGCCAGCGCTGCCGCCGGCTGATGCCCGGCCACGGCCTGGGCCAGCGACCGGGAGAGCGGGGGTGCCGCGGGCAGAGCCAAATGATTTAATTAAGGGCTCCTGGCAGCGAAAGGACAGAGCCGATTAGCGGCCAAAGGAAAGCGCGTGCTGGGGGAGCTGGAGCTGCCCCCGGCCGGCAGCGCTGCAGCGGCTGCGGCTGCACGTCTGCCCCCTCACCTGTGCTGGGCTGGGGCAGGCAGTGGGGCAGGCAGTGGGGCTGGGCTGGGGCGGGCAGTGGGGCAGGCAGTGGGGCTGGGCTGGGGCAGGCAGTGGGGCTGTCTTCTGGAGCAGCCCATCCCTGCCGGGTGACTCAGCTCCCCATCCATGGCTGTGGCTTGGGAGCATCCGTGGGGTGCTTGGGAGCATGGTCCACACACATCCAATGTCCCCAGTGTCCCCAGTCCCCACAGCAAAGCACACACAGAGCTGGCCCTGCAGCCCGGCACGGGCCCACACCTATTTACAGATATGACAGATAAATTACAGCACTGTGCACAGGGACTCAAGGTGCACGAGGAAGCACCACAGGACAAACTCCCCCCCTACAGATCCCCCTGGCCCCACAGTTCTCCCTTCCAGAGGTCCAGGTCCCCCTTGCCTGCCTCACTGTGTCCGTGTGCCAGGCACCAGGGGAGGACGGGGCAGGGCACGGCTCAGGGCAGCCCTCCCAGCTGGCTGCGGGCTCAGAAATGGCTCTCGGCCGTGGTCTCAGGAAACTCGTAGCAGTGGTGATGGCCCCCGAGGGCGAGGTGCTCTGCGGTGCTGCGCCCGCTCCTCTCCAGGCGCTGGGTGCCGGCCTGGGGGCCCAGGCTGCGCCCCAGCCCGTTGGTGCAGCCGCTCACCAGCTGGTGCTTCTCGCAGGTGCTGCCGGCGCCGTTGCGGGCACTGGGTGCGTGGCTGTAGGTGTGCTTGTACTCCTCAGCCAGGTCCTTCCCCAGCTTCCAGCGCTGCCACCGCTTCAGCAGCTCTGCCTGCACCTGCGGGCAGCAGCTGTCAATGTGAGCCCGTGTCCCCGTTGCCCGTACTCCGCTGCCCGTGCCCCCGCTGCCCATGCCCCGCTGCCCATGCCCTGCTGCCCATGCCCCCGCTGCCCATGCCCTGCTGCCCATGCCCCGCTGCCCATGCCCTGCTGCCCATGCCCCGCTGCCCGTGCCCCTGCTGCCCGTGCCCTGCTGCCCATGCCCCGCTGCCTGTGCCCCGCTGCCCGTGCCCCGCTGCCCGTGCCCCGCTGCCTGTGCCCCACTGCCCATGCCCTGCTGCCCATGCCCCGCTGCCCATGCCCTGCTGCCCATGCCCTGCTGCCCGTGCCCTGCTGCCCATGCCCCGCTGCCCGTGCCCTGCTGCCCGTGCCCTGCTGTCCGTGCCCTGCTGTCCGTGCCCTGCTGCCCGTGCCCCGCTGTCCGTGCCCCACTGCCCGTGCCCCGCTGCCCGTGCCCTGCTGCCCGTGCCCTGCTGCCCATACCCCCGCTGCCTGTGCCCTGCTGCCCGTGCCCCTGCTGCCTGTGCCCCCGCTGCCCGTGCCCCGCTGCCCGTGCCCTGCTGCCCATGCCCCCGCTGCCCGTGCCCTGCTGCCCGTGCCCCTGCTGTCCTGCTCACCTCCTTGTTGACGAAGCAGTAGAGAATGGCCACCAGCAAACCCTGGGAACGGGGAGGAGAGGCGTGAAGAGCGTAACCAGACCTCAGTCCAGTCCCTCTTGAGACTGAGTGTCCCCAAGGAGGCCTGGGCTCACCTGGAAGGAGCTCAGGAAGAGGTCGAAGAAGAGCTTGACGTAGCGCAGCGTGCCCTGGGCGTGCTCGTCCGTGATGAAGGCAAAGACCACCTCGTGGATGCCCAGCAGCGGGATGAGCGTCAGCGTGGACCTGGCCAGCCTGTGGGACGGGGGTCTCGGGTGGGAACACAGCCGTGTGTGCCGTGGGGACTCAGGGAGAGCCACGTCCAGCACTCACCTGAACTTGTAGTCAGTGTAGCGCATCTGGTGTGCACGGAGCTTGGAAACAAGGATCTGAATGATGCGGATGAAGATGAAGAAGTTGATCTGCAATGGAATGGAGCGAGCCCTCAGGGGCACAGGCAGAGCCAGAGGAGGGGCAGACAGGACACCTCTGCTCTCCTGCCCTCGGCAGCCCCTCCACAGCCATCCTGGGGCCTGTGACACAGATGTGGAGCAGGGGCTGCAGGGGGCTCACCAGGATGGCCAGGAACACGGGAAAGCGAAGGATCCACCAGAAGCCCATGTTGTTGTTTGTGGACCAGCACCTGCAGAATGGAGGGATGGGAACTGCCAGGAAGCCCCTTTACCAGGCAGCAGCTGGAGACTGGCATGGCATTGGTAGCCTGAGTCAAACAAGCACTAAGGCCCAGAACCCTGCTCCTTGCCATGGGCAATGGTGTGGAGTGACTCCAGGGCCAGCACAACGTCCCTACAGTCCCACCCGCACCTACCTGTGCCCTGTGCCCCCTCCAGCCAGCAGCTGGAGCTGGTACTCACTGTATGTTTTCATAGAGGAACTTCACAATGACCCAGGGAATGAGGAACAGCATGGGTGCCCCTGAGGGGAGGTGAGCAGAGCACGGGTGAGGCACAGCAGGGCACAGGGTCAGGGGGCCCAGCCCACCCACACTCACCCCAGCCGATGCACAGGTAGAGGGTGAAGTAGCTCCTCTCGGAGAAGACGGCCACCACCAGCAGGTTGTGCAGGTAGATGCCTTCCACCAGCAGCCAGCAGTAGTTGGCCACGATGCCGTACTGCATGAAGACCGTGGCTGCCCTGCAGCCTGCAGCTGCCTGTGGGCAGGGGTCAGGGCTGCAGCACTGCCTGTGTGCCCGTGCCCCCAGCCCCACAGCACTGCCTGTCCCTGTCCCCATCCCCATCCCCATCCCTGTCCCTGCGCTGACCTCGTCGCTCAGCCACACTTGCACGTTGTAGCCGTCGATCTTGTCGCTGTAGTGGGTTTTGAGCAGGGCGTCGATGACCAGCACGGAGACGCCCTTCAGGATGAAGGAGGCGAACAGGTTCATGTGGATGTAGTTCCTCATGCAGTGCAGCTTGCTGCGGATTTGGGGGCCATTGTCAGTGCCCGTGCGTGGGCCCTGGCCTCCCCCTGCCCAGCCTGTGGACAGCCATGCCCAAAGTCCCACCTGAAGCCCAGCAGCAGGGCCAGGGCGAGCAGCAGCGCACACAGGGACACAGAGTAGCCCACAGTGTACATCACCTTGAAGCTGCCATAGGTCTTGGCAAACTTTTCCTGGAAGAGGAGGGAGCAAGTGAGGGCAGGGGCAGATGGAGGGCAGGCAGGGGGGCAGGCAGGGACCCCCACACCCCTGCTGCCCAGGTCTGCCCACCTGCGCCTTCAGGTCCTCGTCATCCTGCTCACACTGTGTGGCATCGCGCAGGGACTGTCCCCGCGGGCCTGTCACCCACTGTCCGTCCGGCCCACAGGTCTTGAAGACGTGTCTGTGCTTCACTGCGAGGGGAGGGGATGGTGAGGGGTGCCAGCCCCTGTGCCCCCACAGGCAGCGTGCACTGGCCCCAGTGTGACTGCCTGCAGCAGCACATGCACGCAGCACACAGGTGTCCCAGCACAGCTGCACACACCTGTGAACACACTGCACACACTGCACAGCTGCACACACTGCACACACTGCACACACTGCACAGCTGCACACACCTGTGAACACACTGCACACACTGCACAGCTGCACACACTGCACAGCTGCACACACCTGTGAACACACTGCACACACCTGCACACACTGCACACACTGCACAGCTGCACACACTGCACACACTGCACAGCTGCACACACACAGCACAGCTGCACACACTGCACAGGTGCACACACTGCACACACTGCACAGATGCACGCAGCTGCACACACTGCACACACTGCACAGGTGCACACACTGCACACGTGTGAACACACTGCACACACTGCACAGCTGCACACACTGCACACACTGCACACACTGCACAGCTGCACACACCTGTGAACACACTGCACACACTGCACAGCTGCACACACTGCACAGCTGCACACACCTGTGAACACACTGCACACACCTGCACACACTGCACACACTGCACAGCTGCACACACTGCACACACTGCACAGCTGCACACACACAGCACAGCTGCACACACTGCACAGGTGCACACACTGCACACACTGCACAGATGCACGCAGCTGCACACACTGCACACACTGCACAGGTGCACACACTGCACACGTGTGAACACACTGCACACACTGCACACACTGCACAGCTGCACACACTGCACAGCTGCACACACTGCACAGCTGCACGTGCACACGCCCCTCCCTGCATTACCTTTCTGGTACCAGGGCAGGAACCAGGGGCAGGGCACACTGGCTGTGCTGTTGGGCATCGTGTCGGGCCAGCAGGAGAACTTGTCGAAGGTGCGGTTACAGACCAGCTCTGCAGGAGGACAGGAGCTGGTGGCGCTTTGGCCTCACCCTCCCCTGCCCCCTCTGCTTGTCCCCATCCTGCGGGGGCCCTGTGCTGGCTCTGTGCCCCATCCCCATCTCAGCAGGACCCTCGGGACCCCGGGGCACTGACCCGTGGGCGCGGGCTGGAGGCTCATGTTGCGCTGGCACTCCTCGCTGTACTCCTTCCATCTCTCCACGACGTTATCCGTGATCTGGGCAGAGGGGCCCTGCGGGCACCAGGGACCACCTGTCACTCGTGTCCTGCTCGCAGGGGGCACCGTGCTGTGCCAGGCAGTGACCCCAGATGGTGCTGGCGAACATACCATGCCACGCCACGCCATTCTGAGCCATGCCATGCCATTCTCAGCCATGCCGTGCCATGAGGAGGCACAAAGGGGCACCAGATGCTGTACCACGTGCCATGGTGAGGGGATGCAGTGGGATGGGTGGCTCGGTGGTCCTGCGTGGGTGCCGGGCTGAGCATGGGGCAGAGCACCCTCATGTGTGACAGCTCATCCTTACCTGGCAGCAGAGCAGCAGCGCCAGCAGGGTGAGGAGACGTGGCTGGGACATCCCTCCTCTGGACCACATGCATGGGACACAGCGCAAGGCACACGGCTTCCTACCGGCCCTCAGCAGCTTCTCCAGCCCGGTGGTGCCGGCCCTGGCATGTGGGCAGCCCTGTGCAAGACTCCTGGTCACGGGGACTCCTGGGACACAGCTGGGGGACATGGGGCTAGGGCAGGTGGGGTTGGAGATGGCCACTCTGGCACAGAGCCTGTCTCCATCCCCACCCGACCCTGCTTGGTGTTCACATTCAGATATTTGTTCACTCATTTTTGCACCAAGTGCCTGTATTATTCTCCCCAGGAAGGCACTGGGACAGTGACCATGCAGGTTCTCTGCCTGCCAAGCCAGTTTCAGCCCCCGTGTGGCTGGAGTGCAGTGGCAGTGCTGCCTCCCGACCCTCGCAGAAAACCTGGGCTGGTGCCACCCCACGCTGCTGCTGGGACCCAGCTGTGCATCACTGCTGAGTCCTGAGAATGCAGACCCCCTGGCAGAAGGGACTCCCCCTCACAGCTGAGCACGCCCTCAGGCAGAGAGGCTGGCACCTGGGCTCTCCCTGCCTCCGTGGGCTCTCATGCCTGACACCCAGCCATGGTCTGGCAGCAGCACCTCCAGGGATGGCCAGGGAGCACGGAGAGCAGGGGTGGGACACTGCCATTAACCCTGAGGGATCCTGGCTCGTGGGGCTGCTGTGGGCCTGGGACAAGCTCAGCTGGGCTGTGCCCCTGTGGGTCCATCTCCCCCAGCTCCAGGCAGTGACCTGGGCCCTTGCCTGACGTGGGGTCCGGGTGCTCCACAGGCCGTGGCTCACGAGGTGCCGTAATTCCCTCCAGCCCTAAGCCGGTTATGGGGCTCCTGAGCAGGATTTTGGCTCTTCCCACAAGGGCCCGTTTTGGCAGCAGCCCCATGGCACAGCCCACGGTGTGGGGTGAGGGCAGCGGAGCCGGGGGGATGGACAGCGGTGCCAGTGCCAGCGCGGGCACTGCAGCACCACCCCAGCCCCTGGGCTCCCCCTGGGCACCAGCCAGAGTGTCCTGCTCCCCATCAGTCTGCTCCCAGGGCTCGCTGCTCTGCCTGTGCCTATTTTTATCCCTGGGAAAGTCGTGTTTCCTCCGTCCGTGCAGACCCACTCGCCATGTCGCAAGTGGCTGCTGGAGCAGCTCATTAATCAGCACATGGGGCTCCAGATGCAGCTCGGGGAGCAGGACCTGCCATGGCCTTATTTAGCCAGTCCCAGGACAGAGGGAGCTGCCTCCTGGGACAGTTCTCACTGGGTGGGCTCTGTGAACAGGGACCTTTCTTGGGTGCCCACTAGCCACCTCACCACTCCAGAATTCCTGTTTTTGTCATCACCCCAGCCCCGCCCCAGCAGCACTGTTGCCCAACCACTATTCCTGTCCTAGTTCCTCTCCCATCCCACCTCAGGATCCCTGTCTCTTTCCTCCCACAGCCCCATGCCAGCATCCCTGTCTCTCTTCCCCTGCTAACCCAATTCCACCAGCCCTGTGCCCCCCTCCAGCACAACACCATCCCTGCCTGTCCCATGCCACTGCCACCTATGTGCCAGCCCCACGGGAAGATGCCAGTGCCAGTCCCTGGCCAAGCATCAGTCCCTGCCCTGGCTGGGAATGCTCCTCCAGGTCCTTGGGTCACAGTGCCTTGCTGTCAGCCCCTCTGCGCAGCCGGGGAGCAACTTTGGGGCAGAGGTGTCGCTATTTTTAGTGGCTGCAGTGGGATTTAGCAGCAGGGAGGCCTCTGCCCTGGACTCCCCCCATCTGGCAGCCGCTCCCAGCCCTGCCCCAGTGTGGCCAAGCCGGGCAGACTGCACTGGGTGAGGGGTCCTGGCACGGGGGCCAGTCATGCTCCCAGCCCCATCATGGTCTTCCCCTGTCCCTGCCCAGGCCCTTTGCCCCAGCTGCCTGTGGTGCTGTACAGCCGTGGCCCCACGCCAGATCCCCACCACCCACAGGAACAGGGTCCCTGCAGACTGGGGCTGTTTCCAGCACAGACCTGGGAGTGCAGAAGGAGCCGTGGACCAGCTCTCCCTGGTCTGGAGCCAGTGGACAATGGCATAGAGGGAGCAGTGGCTCTGTGTGGTGGAACAGCAAGGTCTGGGGTAGCCGGGACCCCTGGCAGCACCAGCCCCTCCCCGGAGCTGGCACTGCCCAGCAGCAGCACCAGTGGTGCCCCTGGGCAGCGGCTCTGCCAGCTGGACGTGCTGCAGCCCCTGTCAGCTGTGCCTGGGTGCCACAGGCAGCTCTGCACAGGGGACCCGGCCCCGCATCCTCACCGCCTCCTCTCACTCTGCTGTGCCCAGCCGGCTCCCAGTGCCACATTCCCTGCCCTGGCACCTCATCCCCTGCTGGGGCCAGGCTCTGGGGGATCCCCCACCACACCAAGGCATAAGCAGTGGGTGGAGGGTGCCTGGCCTGTGAATTGGTGCCTCTGAGGGGCTGCAGTGCATGACAGCAGGTGTCCAGGGGACTTTTGCCCCACGCTGGTGTTGGACACTGGGGTGTGTTCCTGTGTCACGGTCCTGTGGCTGCTGACCTTCGTGGAGCCAGGCTGGAAACACCCAGTGCAACTCCACTTGGGGCCACAGCTGTGAAGAAGAGACCTTGTGCCAGGAGAGCAGCAACAAGAAGACAACACTGGGACACGTGCAACACCACTGCTGGTAACCGTAGTGCTGGGGGCAGAGGGGTCACACACAGGCACCACCATCTGCCCTCACAGTGTGGCTGTGGCTGCATTTGCCTTTCCCAAGCCAGCAGTGCCAACCCTGCAGCCACAGGGGCAAAGCAAGGACTCCCATTCCCCTTGACCTGTGCCCTGGTGCCCCTGCAGCTCATGGCAGCTGCCCCTGGCCCCAGGGAGGTCAGGAGGGGCCAGCCCGGGCAGGGTGCAGGGCAAATGGAGGCCCTGGGTGCACTGCTGCCATGGCATTGCAGCAAGGCAGAGGGCATGGATGGGAAAGGGCTTGAGTTGGGATTTTGCTCCCCATTGATGGGTGTGCAGCCTCCACGCTACCCTGCAGCAGCTCTGTACCAGCGTGGACCCACACTGGTGGCTGAGGGCCCAGCCCTGCCTAGGAAGAGACTCTCTCCTCATCCCACCATGGCCACTTTCCCCTGAGGATTTTGCCACCCCAGCCCCTCTGGCATTGCTGCCATCGCACGTGTGAGAGAATGAGCTCCACATCTGGGATCTCTGTGGATGGTCATGTGGATCAGGGCTTGCTAAAGTCCCCACAGGACACTCATGGGCATCTGCAACGTGACCTGGGAGCACCTTGGCACGGCCACGGCCCTGCACAAGTGCAGCGAGGCTGGCGCAGCCCCCAGAGCCGGATCCCACAGGACTCTCGCCTCCCCTGGGGTGGGGACTTGGCCTCGTGTGAGCACAGCCCCGCACCCAGCACAGCCCCACGGGTTTGGAGGCGGCTGTGGGGCTGTGGGGCTGTGCAGCCCCTGGACACAGGGATTAGCCCCCCGTGCGCTAATGCGGTGCTTTCCACGGCTGGCTTGGCTTGGAGCTCAGAGCTACATGCCAGCACGGCAGGGGCTTTGGCACTTGGCAGGGATGCCAGTGCCAGCCTGGCCCTGCAGATGCTGCTCCACTTTCCACCCGGGCCCATGGCAAGCGGGGCAGGGCAGGGGACACGGCCCTGGCAGGGAGGCCCAGGAGCTCTGTCCTGCACCGTCCCTGCCCTGTGCCCCTTCCGGAAGGCTCGGGGAGGTTTCCTACTCCCCTTCTCCATTCTTTCCTTGAAAACTAAGTACAAGGAACTTTGGCAGCAAAGGAGCAGCTGAGCAGCCCGGAGCAGTCCTTGTGCTGCAAGGCTGTGACTCGTTTGCACAGAGCTATGTGATTGTGGAAGCAGTGGCACACGGAGAGAGCCAACGTCGCCAGACCCTGGTGGTGGCAGATTCTGTCTAACCCTGGACCAAGAAAACCCAAACCAGCCCTGATAGTGTTTTCATCAAGAGGAGCATAGGATGCAAAGAGGACAAATGCTCTTTGCATCGCCTCTGCTTCTGCCTGGTCACCACAAGGCATGGTCAGGGGGCACCTGCACAGCTGCCCTGCACCAAAGAGGGACCATGATACAGCCTGGCAGCAGCCAAATTACCTTGCTGCCCAGCTGGCTCTGGCATGGGGGTGCTGAGCCACACAGCACCTCATCCCTGGCTGAAGGAAAGGGGTGTTTTTGTTCATCACGTTGCATGAAAACCTGTGAAACACAGACGGAAGGCACAAGAGGCAGTGTGACACGTGTGGTGAGCATGTCACAGGGGAGGCACAGGGCTGGGAAAAGCCTAGGAAAAGGTCAGTGCAGACAGGCTGGTGCACACACTCCCCTGCACTGGGAGCTCCTCACCCGAGCAGCAGAACTGCAGCCCCAGCAAGGCAGGGGTGCTGTGGGGGCCACACGTGCCCAGGCATCCTCTGGCACCACAGGCACCCGACCCCAGTGCTGGGGTAGATCAACAAGGACATGGGGATGCAGGACAAAGCAGGAGGCAGTGGTGGAGCACAGGGGGATGGAGCTGAGCAGCCATCCCATCTCCCTCATGTGCAGCTTCTCCTGCCCCTGTCCCTGCCTGGCACAGCGAGGCGCAGGGAGATGCTGTGCTCAGTGGCTGGTTTCAGCCCTGTGCTGCTGATCAGGGTTTGTGGTCACATTTTTTCATTAACTATTTTTAATCCATATTTTGCCTATTCTCTGTTCAGCCTTTTCTCTTTTCCCCTCTCTAGGCAACAGAACATAAAAAAAAAAGAAATGCACCGCAGTGTGCGGAAAGGAGCAGGATTGGTGGGAAGCCACAGGAGCTGGCAGCTGGGGCAGCACTAACACGCTGACGAGGGGTCCTGCAGGCCCTAAATTTTCCTGCTGATGCACAGACAAAATCACAGGGGCAGTCACTGAATTTGGTGTGGGTCAGGACACCCGCGGCAGGCGCTGCACGGGCAGGGGGCTCAGCAGAGCTGATGCTCCGTCCTGAGGCCGTTCTGTGCCAGGGG